CTCAGAGAGCATTACATCGGAGTTATTGCAGAATGCGCAATTAAACGATGAAGAGAAGAATGCTGCCGATCGCGTCATTAAAGATCTTCAAGTTGTTTTCTCCCGCTCGTCTTCTGACGTGGGTCGAACTAGTTTGACACAACATAGAATCGATACCGGCGATCATCCCCCGATCAAGCAACATCCAAGACGCCTACCGTTTGCTAAACAGGAAGAGGTACGAACACTTTTAAAGGATATGGAAGAAGGCGATGTCATCGAGCCTTCAGCAAGTCCATGGGCATCTCCCATCGTTCTCGTCAGAAAGAAAGACGGCTCAACAAGATTTTGCGTTGACTATCGCCGCTTGAATGAGGTTACGAAGAAAGACAGTTACCCTCTTCCTAGAATTGACGACATTTTGGACACTCTTTCTGGAAGCAAGTGGTTCTCAACACTTGATTTAAAGAGTGGGTATTGGCAGGTAGAAATACACCCTGATGACCGAGAAAAGACGGCATTTACTACGGGACAAGGGCTTTGGCAATTCAAGGTGATGCCGTTTGGACTGTGTAATGCGCCGGCAACATTCGAACGTCTTATGGAGACTGTTTTGAAAGGCCTTTCCTACGAAGCCTGCCTGATATACCTGGACGACATCATCATCGTCGGAAAGAGTTTTGAAGAACATTTAGAAAATCTTAGGAAGGTGCTTCAGAAACTGAGAGAAGCCAATCTGAAGCTGAGTCCCGCTAAATGCAAATTGTTCCGAAAGGAAGTGACTTACCTGGGACATGTCATCTCTGCAGAAGGTGTACGCACGGATCCTGAAAAAGGTATCAGCGGTTAAATCCTGGACACGTCCCGAAAATGTCCATCAGCTGAGAAGCTTCCTAGGGCTTTGCACCTACTATAGGAGATTCGTGAAGGACTTTTCTTCCATCGCAAGACCCCTGAGCTGACAGAGAGCAAACGTTCTTGTGGACAAAAGAATGCGAGGATGCATTTAACAACTTAAAGGAAGCTTTAACATCTGCTCCAATCCTGACGTATCCTCAGCTCGACAGACCATTTATTCTCGACACGGACGCGAGCAATGAAAGTGTCGGTGCGGTTTTGTCCCAAGAAATAGACGGCAAGAACGTGTAGTGGCGTACTGGAGCAAGTGCCTGTCTAAACCGGAGAGGAATTACTGTGTCACCAGGAAAGAGTTGCTCGCCATAGTCAAAGCTGTAGAACAGGTTCCACCATCACTATCTATACGGCAGAAAATTCCTGCTCCGCACCGATCATGCATCATTGACCTGGCTTTTAAATTTCAAGAATCCTGAGGGTCAAATAGCCAGGTGGATACAGAGACTCCAAGAATATGACATCACTATCCGTCATCGTAAGGGATCATCACACGGAAACGCCGACGCCCTGTCTAGAAGACCTTGCCAAGAAAGCTGCCGATATTGTTCCAGGGTGGAAGCGAAAATACGAGCTGCTGACTCCGGTCGCAAGACAAATTACAACATCAACATCGGCTGATCGAGACCCGTGGAGTGATGATGAAGTCAGGAAAGACCAGCTGAAAGACCGCGACATTAGACCCATAATTGATTTAATGGAGTCATCAAACAGAAAGCCTACCTGGCAGGACATTTCTATCTGTAGTTCTACAACCAAACAATATTGGGCACTCTGGGATTCACTTCACATCCGAAACGGCGTCTTATACCGGAAATTCGAATCGGATGATGGGAAGACGTTTCGATGGCAACTTATACTTCCAAGATCCCGCATTCCTGATGTCCTTAAAGAATTACATAGCAGCCCTACAGGAGGTCACTACAGGAGGAATAATGAAGACCTTCCAGAGAGTTCGTGAGCGCTTTTACTGGAATAATGCAAAGGATGACGTGCAAAAGTGGTGCCGATCTTGCGATGCCTGTGCAGGTCGGAAAAGACCAAGGAGACGCAGCCGAGGCAAGCTGCAACGTTACAACGTAGGCGCGCCTTTTGAACGTATCGCCTTTGATATCCTGGGACCTCTGCCACGAACTGCTGATGGCAACAAATACATACTCGTTGTCATTGATTACTTCACCAAGTGGCCTGAAGCTTATGCTATTCCTGATCAAGAGGCTGTCACAGTAGCTGAGGTAATGATACAGCGCTGGATTTCCAGGTTCGGAGTGCCTCTTCATTTACATTCCGATGAGGGAAGGAATTTTGCCTCGGCAGTAATCAAAGAACTATGCAAACTACTCGGCATTGACAAAACTCAAATGACGCCATTGCATCCCCAGTCGGACGGCATGGTAGAGAGGTTCAATCGAACCATCCTTAATAACCTCTCATTAATGGTTTCCAGAAACCAACAGGACTGGGACAAGAAACTACCACTCTTTTTACTGGCTTACCGTAGTGCTGTCCACGAGACTACCGGCTATTCTCCATCACAGATGCTCTTCGGTCGTGACCTTCGTCTGCCTTGTGATCTATTGTTTGGCCGCCCTCCGGATGCTCCTTCTTCGTCTGAGGAATATATTCAAGATCTCCAGGCCCGGTTTGAAGTGATGCACAACTTTGCACGAGAGCGAGTCAACTTGGCGACGGAGAAGTTGAAGACCCTGTACGACACAATAGCTACTGAACATCAATTCCACGAAGGAGACAAGGTGTGGTTGTGGAATCCGACTCGACGGAAAGGGCTTTGTTCGAAATTACAGTCACCTTGGGATGGCCCGTTACACAGTCCTAAACAGGCTGAATGACGTCGTGGTTCGGATTCGTAAGTCTTCGAACTCTAAACCTAAAGTCGTTCATTACGACAGATTAGCGCATTACTATGGACATAGTACGTAATGTAAATAATTGTAAATAGTGTAAGGCCATGGTCCTTTTTGTTTTTAAATGTGTATTTTGTATTCAATTTGTATTTTGAATTTGATTTGTATTTTGTATTTGATTTGTATTTGATATCATTTGATTTGTTTAAGTTATCTATTACATTTATTGTTCATGTTCTTTGATATTGTAATGTAATGTTTATGCCTCAGTTGCATTTATGCCTCAGTCGTAAGTTTAGCTTCCTGTCCAGGGGTTGTACTGCCCGGGACGTGCAGTCCTTAAAAAGGGGGCAGTGTTACGAATTTGGTATTTAAAAAGCTAATGTTAGTTCAATTATAAATTAAATGGTTTTATTTCTCGCGCAGTGCAGCGCGTGACGAATATTAAAAGAAAGCTAAGCCGGAAAATTGAAAATACAAGAGCGCGTGCATTAAATAAATAAATATCTCTTTTTGATTTCCAGAAAGTACTAGAAAATTCTAGCGCGTGATTTTAAAATCTTATAAAACGAGGAAAACATCTCAGTTCGTAGGTAGTTGCTTAGTTTGTTGTTGTTTAGAAAACTGCTGTTTTTGATTGTAGCGAATTCGCTGATTAGCGTTCTTTAGCTGTTTTGAATTACGTTCTATTGGACATTTGAGTGGTTAAAAGATAACTACTGTGAGATATTGTAATACTGCATGATAATTTGAGAAAATTTAAGCATTTTTGTTGTGATAATAATAAATTTTTGTTCATTTTTCATCGGACTTGTGCATTTATTTCATAACGAACCCTTACGCACGCAACAGTATGTATTATTACTTGAATGTAGATTTCTTGTAAAGAAATATCGTGATAGTAGCCTGTAGTTTAACTATGACTGCTTTTCATTTGTTATGTTCTTGCTGTGTAAGCGTATCCTTCATAAATTAATTGACTCGCATCCATCACGATTTTTGGGTCATAAAATAAGGTTAAAAATGATAAGTAATACGCGAGAAAATACAGTATTTATGATGATGTTACGATTTACCGATTTTAGTTGTTTACTAGCGGGCTGCTGCTAAAGCAAAATTCATAAGTTCTGCATACACCTGAAAAGAAAATGTATAAACACATTTTTATATGAATGAAATCAGTTCAGTCTTTTGAAGCAACAGCCAATTCATAAATAATATTTTGTTGCCAAACAGGAAAATAAAAAAATTTACACTTTAGGTTAATACTTATACGTATGACGTCATGATTTAAATTTAATGTAATATAACAACTTTTTCTCAATATCAATAAAAAAATTAACGTGGCAATAACATATTGTGTGAGTTATCCTAACCTGAAATAAAAAAGATGCCAACAGCAGCGATTTATTTAAAGCTGACCTTAATTAACGAAAAATGTTTTATATACAATGACGTCACATGCAATCGCTTGCTTTCTTCACCTTCAGAATATGACCTTATATAATAATAATATGTTTAATCTTTGGCAATGCTATTTTTATTTCATATTTTGTAAAATTTACGACCTTTTTATTAACAACTTCTACGATATGAAAGCGAGCAGCGGCAACGCTTTTTGAAATAAAGCAGATTTTTACCTCCAGCGCGCGAGACTGTTGCCATTCAGAAAAATGAGTTTGAAAATTAGCCTTTTCAGAGTTTTTAATTAATATCTCGGCTAATGAAAGTCGTACGAAGATCAGAATGGTCGAAATGGCTTCCCACGAATTTTTGGAGTCCGTGGGTGCCTTTCTAGAAACTCAACTCCCTGCCGTTTCGCAGGAGATAATGCCGCAAACAAACAGACAGATGAGCACAGAGTTTTATAGTATAGATTTCTTGAATGATCTACAAGATGCTATTTTTAAATATGAAAATAAATAATAATAAAAAAAAAATCCGAAAGCTTTCAGATTTTATATTAGGCCGAAAAGGGCGTTTTTTTTTAAACGTTTTATGTTTTAGATTTATTAATTACATATTATGTTCTTCGCACTTATAAGACATAAAATTCAATTCAGCAGCAATATCACAAAATATTTAAAAACCACATATCTTTACAGTTTACGATACACAGTCTCTCACGCTGGAGATTTCACACAGAAAACGACTATTCTCATATTTTTGTAATTATTGTTAAGGTAAAAAATAATTGCGCAGTAATATTTTTTTTTAACATTTCGATTTATGACTGTTTTACAGAGAGTCCTCAACATGATCGGGAACCCTGTTTTAAAGCATATGAAAAATTACAGAAAGCATTTCATTTTTGGAATCGTAAGTATTTTGTATTTCATATTATATAGCATTATCAAATACATGCATTAAATTAATGATATGTATGTATAATATGTACATCATGCAATAAAAACATATATGTAGAATGCATGTATCAAAATTATCTACGATAAATTCCATTTAGTATATTCTATGCATATGAAATGAATGTTTGTTTGTTGGTTTGTCTTTTTATGCAAGTCTACAGTTTAATTCCGGTCTTTATGAAACTTGCCACACTTCAAAACGAAAGGAAGGATTTCTTAAAAACCAGCCCATGAGGTCCGCGCACTTTATATACATATACTTCACGCTAATTTAATGCACTTTTAATTAAAAACTCAGAAATGTAAAAGCTTTACGTTGCCACTATGCATAGAGAAATCTATCTATGTTTCAAATTTAATCAGAATATATAAAGACCTGTGTTGCCACTCTGGAAAAACGCAGTTATATTAATTTTTCTCAAACTAAGCAAACTCAGCTATTTAAGTGAAATGTATTGAAACAGCCATGTGTTATCGTTCAGCAAAGCGTAAAATATATAATTTTTCACACATTAACATGCATGTTATTGCATCCTACGCATTTTCTTTGCGTTTTGAAAGTGAATTTGCAATAATCGTCACAAAGCATTACTTTCCCTGTGAAATCAATTACGCCACTAAAATGAAAATCGATTGCTCAACGTGCACCTCAAGCACGAAAGAAAAAAGGCATCACGATCACAAGCTCCAGAAACAAATGAGCAACGGGAAGCAAGACTGGAAAACGTTCGAGTGCGCACTGCTCTAGCCCATTCATATGAAACAAAGGAGCAACGGGGAGAAAGACTGGAAAACGTTCGAGCGCGCACTAGTCGCTTCCTATTAATATAAAAACAAAAACATAGTGCATCCAAAAGGACTTCAATAAACAGGATCAAAACAGAAACACTTTCTTTTCTTTAAAGTAGCATTACAACGCATGCCAGGTAACAGTTAGTACTTTATACTGTAGAGACATTAAATAATTTGGGAACAGGAAAGATGAAAAATGAGCAACCGCCTTCGCCGGGAATCGAACCGCCGGCCTCTGGAATACGCGCTCAGCGTGCAGAACCCCCCACCACCACGAAGGCATGGCAAGAAGGCGGGGAGAAATACCTTATAATACTATATAGCATTCTAAACAATAATCATTAATTTAATGCATGTCGTCATTTATTTAAGGCATTGTACCATTAATTTAATGCAAGAATGTACGTATCAAAAGTATGTATGATAGATTTCATTTATTATATTCTACACTTTATAACATTCTAAATGATCGTCATTAATTTAATGCATGAGTCAAAAATATGAACGATGAATTTCATTCATATTTTAAATAATATTTAGTATATTTTATAAAATATTATACAATAAAATAATAATAATACTTTATATGATATATATCGTATATTTCTACAGGTAAGACGATCTTCAGGTAAAGCGAGGTATAAATTTTCATCAATTTTATAGTTTTAGCGTAGCTGCTCTGCCGGGAAAGCGGTTAGTGACACTGACTGCCATACCGAAGGACCCGGGTTCGAGTTCCAGAAAAAGCATGGATGCAAATTGTCTGTCCCTTTATAGGAAGCAACGGTGGCCCACTCATAAAGAAACCAAGACTTCGGCCTTAGTAATGGCCAACACATATAATGGCTAGTGCCTGCCATTGGGAGAAAAAATTGTTTTAGCATATATCTGTTCTATAAGACGACCCCCAAACTATCAACTTGCAGAAATTAATCTAAAATCTATTTCATATCAGCATCTGGAACAAATTTTATTTTCTTGCATCTGGTAGTATTACCTGTGGAAGCACGCGACGAATTACGAACTCACATATACCTCAAATTTCGTTGTAGACTGTGTCATGTGTTCAAACAATTTGTACTCTAAGTGTAATCAGCATTAAATTTGTAAAGTGTGGACCTAATCATAGAACAGTCAAAAAGAAAGAAATATGAAGCAAGTTTTAAGTTAAAAGTCGTAAAACAGGCTAAAGAATGGAACAACTGTGCTGCAGCAAGGGCTTTCGATATAACAGAGAAGATGTTAACAGACTGAAGAAATAATAAAAGTACTATTAAAAGGGTGCTAGTGAAAAAATGTTTTGTGAAGACAGGAATAGTTTGCTGGCCAGATAATAAAATAACGCAGTTACAATAGCAGAGGTAGAATTGTTATGTTGTTTCAAGAAATATGATTAGGGCTTATGCATTGAAGAGGATAAGGGTCAATCCAAAACAAGACAAAGAATTTAAAGCAACAGTAGGTTGGTACAATCGTTTCATATATATATATATATAAAAAAAAAAAAAATCTGATAATACGACAGAAAACAAAAATTTCGCAGAAAACACCACAAGAACTTGAGCCTCAAGTCACGAGTTTTTCACAAGTTTGTCATCGGTTTGAGGCAAAAATGCAATTTTCCGTTATCTAATGTTATCTAATATTGGAAATATGAATGAAACACCGATGAACTTTGACTTGATAAATAACAGAACTGTAGAAACAAAAGACGTAAAAACTGTTATACAGATAAATCAGAAGTACAGGTCATGAAAAGGCCACGTTTATAGTAGTATTAACATACCTGGCAGATAGAACAAAATTAAACCCATGATCATTTTCAAGAGGAAAACTATTCAAATTCTACCAAAACCTCGTCAGGCATTTTCGTATGTTTCCATGAAAAGGAGTGGATGGGCGAAAATAGTGTAAAATTATGGATGGAAAGTGTATGGCAGTCAACCAAGTGCTCTACGAAATCAACACGATGTTTATTGGTATAGGTTATGCTTCGCAATCACTTAACTGAGAACACTAAAATTCACTTAGAACAGAAAAATATTAAGATTGCTGTTGCATCGCGAAGTTTTAATTTCGATGCTACAACCTTTAGACATCTCTCTAAATAAATAGGCCTACCAGCAGCCGAGCGGTAAAGTCGCTAAACACTGGTAGTCCGGTCCGAGGTTCGAATCCCGCAAGCGGGCTGGCTGCAGGGACGTTTTCCTGGTTTTCCCCATGTGTAACGTGTATACGAGTCAGTTTCCTTTAGAAAGTCCTCCACGAAGGCATTCCTCCCGATAAGCAGATAGCCCTCGAGGCTTTGCGTAATGAAATAAATAAACCAAAGATCACATGCATGAACAATGGAATAACTGAAAGATGAGTGACGAAAAATCGTATACAAAAGGCGGCTGCGTCATTGATTTGCTGAGTGACTTCATGATCAAATCATGGGAAAATGTGAAAGTTCAAACAGTAATCATATCCTCCGAAGATAGTGGGATTTCTAATGCTATGGATGGCATTGAGGACGTTTTGTAATGGGATACTGATGACGAAGCGGAAATCGACTAGCTAGGTACAAAATGGGACCTATAGGATGAGCTTCTCAGCAACGAAAGTCAGGATGCACTTGAAGAGATATTTGCCTTATACAATGAATGTGAGGATTTTTCAGGACTTTAAATACATATTTGATTGAATTGCTTTATTCCATAATGATCTTAATTTATATAAATTTCAATCGAATTTGTTTGTATCTGTCCTATATGATGACCCCAGATTTTTAGACATTTCTGTTATTATTCAAACAACTTATCTGCTGAAATATAGGATACTATACTTCCCATTCTGTATTTTATATAATATAGCATTCTAAGCAATCATCCTTAATCTAATGTACTAGAATTAGAATGCATGTATCGAAAATACGTACCATAAAATTTCATTTAATTTGATTTTTTTAATCAACTCTAGAGAGACCTCTGTTATCTCGATGACAGACCGGTTAGTGACAAAGAAAGAGCCTGTGTCAATGCGTGGTAAGCAAATCTTTTATTATTTTATAAATATACATCGTATCCACCAAAGTCCTTACCTGGCCTTTACTTTCGCAACTGTTGGTCGTAGACACATGTACTTCCACTAAAAATGTTTTAAATGATGCAAAGAATCATGATTTTGCGCTTTTAAAATGAAATTTAAAAAAAAATGTATATATATATATAATACTACGAAATCTTACATTTTACGCGTTCAGGTGGTCCCTATGTTTATATTTAGATAAATTTTGTATTCGTTATAAAAAATAAAATACAAAATGTTTGATTTCCTGTACAACCAAAATTGATCGATATATTTCATTTCAAATTTGCGATATTGGACATCATTGTGAATTTGCGATTGATAAATAAGATAGAGGTCGATTAATAAATAAATTTAAGATAATTCGAGGTTGATTTTTTTCTCCTTAAATGCCGTTCAATGATATTCTTTTGTGATTTCCTTAAATGCCGTTCAATGATATTCTTTTGTGATTTATGCATAATTTTGTTATATTTGGTGTTCTGAAAGAATTTTCGCGTAAATAATTTATAAGTTTTCGAAATTTAAAAATACTTGAGTAATATTCTATTGCTTTAGAATTTTACTTTTTATTTTATTTCTTTAGAATCATAATGTGGTAATCGTATAAAAAATTCATTAAAGTAAAAATATTTTTAATTTTTTATTAATGTAGATAATATTCTGTGCCAATACAGAAGCCTGCCAGTGTTTCTAGAACACGAATTCTATAAGGTTCTGTGCATAAGACCACATTTTTGAACCCCCCCCCCAAAAAAAAAAAATTGTGCTGATCAATATTCTTGCGGTCATGCGGGATCGTAATGGATTGAATGCACACAGGTCCGATGATAGGTTGATAAAATTTATTTTATCAAAGGAAACACTGGAGCTTTCCATAAAAATAGTCGTACAACTCTTCACAGTATCACAGAGTACAATCAGCCGTTACACTTTAAACTACAAAGAACGTTGAACACGATGAAAAGCGCATCTAAAAGGCGAATCTCTCACGGAGATCTCTCAATACTCCGAACTCAACACTGAACTAAACAACTGACATTTGATTCTCTCTGCGGTCTTTCATTGTTTTCCCTGGTGGCCGAAAAATCTATAGCCTTTCACTTCTCGAAATTACTGGAAGGTACATACGATTAAAGTTAAATATAAAGACCGGATACAGCTACAGTTGCAGTTATCAAGATACAGCATTAATTACAGTTGTACAGCAACCGAAATCAAATGTCGTCAAAAGCTGGCCAATTTTGGCGACTTTAAGTTTTTTACAAAAAATTTTCGCCAAAACCATCGTTAGCTTGGCGATATCTCGCCAATTTAGCGAGATAGATATTTACTCAATGTTAAATAGACTTACCCCTTTAATCTTATTTTTTCGGCAGAGCATCATCTCTTTCAAACATTTCACATTACATTATACAAAACACGACACAATTTCATAGACAATTTCAGAAAATAATTTACATATATACAAAATTCGTAACATTGCCCACTTCCTAAGAACTGCTCATCCCGGGAAGTACAATCCCTGCATAGGAAGACAAACTTACAACTAAAGCAAATCAATGCAACATTAAATAACATACAACAAATCAAATACACTAAATCAATAATTAAATGCGGGAATTTACAGATTTATGTGAAAATCAAATATGGTCGTAGTTTATTATTTACATTATGTATATTATGAGGAGTACGTACTATGGCTATAGTAAGGGGCTATCCTGTCGTAATGAACGACTTTAAGCTTACAATTTCATGACTTAGCATCCGAACTACGACGTCGTTCAGCCTATTTAGGGCTGTGCAATAAGGATCGTCCTGGGATGACTGTACTTCAGGAGAAAACCCTTTCAGTCGAATCGGATTCCACAACCACACTTTGTCATCTTCGTTGAATCGATGTCCTGTAGCTCCTGTGTCGTATCGGGTCTTCATTTTCTCTGTCTGGAAGTTCTGAACAGTTCTGGAACTCTCCACAAATATACTCTACAGTCCTTTTCAGTATCACAAAGTACAGCCATTGTTATACTTCAAAGTACTAAAAACGTTAAATGCAGTTCAATGCAAAGTGCATCTGAAAGGTGATTACGGAGATCACCTTTCAGATGCACTTTGCATTGAACGGACGGAGATCACTCAATAGTCTGAACTCAACACTTAACAACTGAGAGCCTTTCACTTCTTTCGAAATAACTGGAAGGCACATATAAGGACCGGATACGGTTACAATTACATATAGAGATCAATTACGGTTATACAGGGACCAGACCCAAATGTTTCCAAATGGTTCCCAAGTTTGGCGACTTTTGGCAATTCCTTGCCAAACTTTGGGGACAAAAATCAGTCGCCAAAACTATCGCCAGCTTAAATAGCGAGATAGCCATTAACGGTGGCTTACATTAGAACGAGAGGCAAACCATTAACAGATAACTGTGTTAAATAAACTTTCCCTGTATTTTTCCGATAGAGCTTTGCTTTTTTAAGCATTTCATGCTACATTATACAATTTCATATATAATTTCATCAAAATTATTCACATATATACAAAATTCGTACAATATTTTTCACTATATACTATAATCCGCATAGAAATGCTCATCATGTAATCTCTTAACATCAGAAACCTTTTTCTAGACCAGCGGTTCTCAACCTTTTGACTAATGTGTACCATCTAAACGAAAATTGAAAACCTTTAGTACCACTTCTACAAAGTACTACTACCATCACCACTCTTGAACAAAGCTCGGATCGCATAAACTTACGAGTGTTAGAGAAAAAACTCTCAGGATGTTGGGGCTTTTAATTTTTGAATATAATAGTTCAAAATACTTTGCTTCTTTGCGAACCACCTATTTTTCTTTTCCACCGGTTGAGAGCCCCTGATCTAACCGATTTAATTTTTTAGTAACTAACAAATACAAACATTTCGCTATTCAATTTGTGTACGACCCCTGGATATAATTTTGAATTTCTATATTAAATACCTCGATTAATTTTCGTCTTACGGGAATTAAACGTTTGTATATTATTTTTTATAACGAGTACAAAATTTTCCTAAATATAAGTGTAGGGAACAAAGAAACGAGTAAAATATTAGATTTCTTAAATGTTACAAAACTAATTTCTTTAAAGTTAAAAATGGCACAATATAAATGTTTACGTCATTTGCAATATTTTTTCGATTCGAACCTTTGATCACAGTATGTCTGTGATCAAAGGTTGCAAAAATAAAGGCCCGATAAAGAACTTTTGTGGACACAGTATATATATATGTTAAAGTAATAAATTTGTCTATTATTAATAATCTACGGTTATGATTAATAATAACCAAGTTTTTCGGTAAATATGATAAATAATGGACATTAATCACATTAACCGGTTAGTATTAATAATTGCCAATGAAGTTTAGCAAGTCTGTTTATTAGGCATAATTTATTGAAACTTCAACTCTAACATAATTTTTAGATGTCTGTATGCTATAATAATAAATCTGTCGCTGTAGACATTAGTACTGTTAAAAAAATAAAGGCTGACCTGAAATACGGATTTTTACTTATGTTTTAATTTAAAATAATAGCTTTAAAAGTTCAGTTTTATATATATATACTAGACAGCCCGGCGGTCATACGAAATGACCGCTGTTTTAGATATTATAAATTGTTATTAAAATGATTTGTGCAAAGGTGTCTGCTAATTCAAACTGAATTACCCAGGGCTGGCGGCGAGGACGCGCCTTTCCTTACTGCCCCACGGGGTTTCCCCCTTCTACTTGCTTAATTGCTTAAAGTAGAATGCAATGAAGGAAACCACTGGCGGTACATTTCTTAAGAGCCACCGCTAGCTCAATAAATAAAGGTGATTTAAATAATAAAATGCTAATCCACATGTCAAAGATCTCTTTGCACACAACATTTCTTGTGTAAATCTCTGCATTATTTTTAAGCTCGCCTTGCAGAGGACCATCAATTATTTTTAATTTTACATCCGTTTTTTCACGAACTCTTGAACAGGCAACATAAAGATGACCGTGTCCAAATGCAGGCTCAGGTGAAAAAATGCCAACACTCTTAAGCGTTTGGCCCTGAGACTTATTGATGGTCATAGCAAAAGCAAGTTTTACAGGAAATTGTCTACGTCTCAATTGAAACGGCAATCCTGAGCCGTGGCAGGTTCACCCCATTGGCTAGTACAGTTACGCAAGCAACCTATAAACTATCGGCGACAAACAGACGCTTAAGCCCCATATAATAAAGATATTTATTTATATCTTTATTATAATATATATATATATTATATATATTATAATATCCCCATATAATAAAGATATTTCATTTGATTTGATTTTTCATCGTTGCCGGTTGCGTATTTCCGAATTCTATTATACATAGATGTTAAATTTATTTGTTAAATGTTAAATGCACGTACTCTTGTATTTTTAATTTTTCCGGCTTAGCTTTTTCAAAATATTCGTCTCGCGTTGCACTGCACAGGGAATAAAACAATTTACAGTTACGCAAGCAACCAATAAACTATCGGTGACAAACACTTAAGCCGCATTTATATAAGATATAATATTTTAATTGCGTAGAAAACACCGGTACTTTTAACTTTCAATAGTGAGCATGGCTAAGAGCGATGGCATACAGACGAAACTAACAAAAACTGGATTTTGAAGAATCAACAGTTTTTATTTTTAGACTTATTATTTTGGCAGACATTTATTCAATCATAGTTAAATACGATAATTTTTTATGTACACTGACTTTAAAAGTACGACGTAAGCATCTTAGACAGGAAAGCATAAGCAGCATAGAGATGTTGGCAGACAGAAGTTAAGAAAAGGAGTGACGTAGTTGCTTGCGAAGCAGTATTTATACTAAGTAGGTGCATAAGCATAACTAAGCTCTGATTGGTTAATTTTAGGTTTTAGTTCCTTTTTCAAGCAGCGTTATGTAACATGAAAAGATCTCGAATTTGGGAGAAAAGATGAATTTAGGGGACAGAACACCAAATTTAGAATAGTCAATTTTGAAGTAGCGAATTATTTTTAACATAGCCATCGTATTTTATTGTATCTTACATTTCAGAAATTTTAATATCGTTTTTACAATTACAAATTTAATAAATTGTATAAAATTCGGAACAGCTCACGGATTGATTCAATATGTATTTACTTTAGTAGAATATACTACAGAAAAGCTCCACATGATATAAAATGAAACATGCATATTATAGTTTTTTGCACCACATTCAGAATTTTTTTCTTTTTATTCGAAATTTGTTTAACCCCATCCAGAATGGCACTTTAATAAATTATTTATTTTGGCATAATGAGCTACTGGGACAATTTGAGTTATAAAGTGCTTTTCATTTTTTATATTTGCCAGCGGCTTGAGCAGCATTTCCAACACTTAAATCCTTGACCACCTAAGTGGGAAGCGCATTCTCTGAGACTTATTTCATTTTAAAGGCACTTCACTCACTGAAATAAATACTTCCTTGCACACAATAAAATCATTCCTTGTGTATAGTGGTTTTAGAATTCCATGTTTGTACCAAGTTTTCGTTTTCCTTAGACATTATGATAGCTATAAGATTCCGGATATCAAATTTACCTCTATCTATCTTTGGCATTCTTATCCATACGTTTTCTCCTACATTCGCTGGCAGAAATTTTAACTTTGAAAGATGCAATATCTTTTCTGCTTGTTTATTTAGTGACCGCTTAGAGCAGAGAATCGAACTTCTTGAATATTCTCTGAGACTCCATGTAGTGCAAGAAAAGACTTTCCATGTTTTCTTCGCAATCTTCCATCTCAACATTAATGAAACATCTGGTTTTTTTTTTTTTTTTTTTTTTTTTTTTTTTTTTTTTTTTTTTTTTTTTCCATCGTCAGTATTTTTATTTTCAGTAGCATGTTGTTCCCATTCAATTTCCCCAAAACTCTCATTTCTATTTCCAACTAAATCTGCAACAGTTGTTACGTCGAACTCTTCACTCGAATGGCCTAATTGCACTTCCATATTGCGATCATTGATTGCGCCTGTATCCTCATCATCAGTTCAGATTGCTGCCTGATTTTAGATGTTATTATCAGACTGGTTTCTTAATCTAATAATATCTTCTTCATCTGTAATTCCTGTCAAGGTATCGTTTGTTAAGTAAGTTCTTAAGCCCACTTTCGCTTTACAGCGAAACATAGATTCATAACGGACTGCTATCTACTTCAGAGTGATGTGCTCTGTTTGTTACGAATTGAATGAATTTTATTCCTTCTGACCACTTGGTTGTATTGTTTGTTTGAAGCCAAATGGGTAACATTTTTTCAATGTCTTGGTTTGCTCTTTAAACTGAGCCCTGTGACCGACTATGTCTTGGCTTTCCATGATCAAATTTGACTCATTCCACATTCCACAAACTTCGTCAATAGTTTTATTGTCAAATTCTCAGCCGTTGTCAATTTGCAAGATGAACGGTGAACCAAATATCGTGAACAGATCCAACAGGTGATAAGCAGCCTCTTCGGTTCGTTTTGTTTTTAACGAATGAATAAATTTCGTTACACGGTCTTGATAAACCATCATAAAATTGAAGTCTCCGTCCACTTGTGACTGCATGTCAATGAAGTCAACTTGACATATCGAATTAAATTTGCTGCTTTTAAATGGTTTAACAACGAGGCCTTTTCTTGGAACACTTTCTGTTTTTTCGACAAGGTACACAAAGATTCAAATAAATCTTTACCATTTCAATTGTAATATACTTATATTTGATCTTAACTTCTGTCATCATTCTATTTCGCCCTCCATGGCCGATTGCAGTGTGAATCTCGTGGAGTATTTGAAAATTCTCTTCCATACAAGTATAATAAACAGTCGGATCTTTTTCATTTTGCACTGGAACAATGAGTTTATCAACACTACCAATTTTAACGATATCGTACCTTGATACTCATTGTTAATCTTCTGGTGTTTTGCTATAAGTCTTCTCTTTGCTTTCCTTAACTTTCGCAATAAAGGAATTATACTGTTCTCTTACAAATAACTGATGGTTTTCTCCTTTTTTCGATTTGAGCATGTCCAAATGACGTGACTTGAGTTCTAAATCATCTTAAAAATCAGCTTAAAAATTACAATAAAATTTGTGAAAACCTTAAAAGAACGACTCTCGCGCCAAAAACTGACAAAGAAACTTACGTCAAACTGGCAAATACGTAAAAAGAATCAAACCGACAAGCACAAAGTATTCGCATAACAAATGAACAACGCACGCTAAGTGCGGGCTTCTACATCCAAAATAAACAAGCAACTGACATTGTCTAGCTGTTTGCGCGGAAAATTACCATTACGCATGCGTATGGGAAATCTCTAGCCAAATGCGTTGAAAATTATTAGATTGACCAACTTTTATTGGTAATTAATATTACTATTAACCAGTAATGTGATAAATTCTGATAAATTATTCACTTTAACCGGCTTAGTTGGTTATCATTAATAATCGCCGGTTATTATTAATAATAAATAATTAATCACGTTGATCCTAACATATATATGCACGTGTAGGCTGACTGAAAAGTTTTGAGAAAGCTATTCAAAATCAGATGATTCATGTAATTTTTTCTCTTTTCAAATTTGAATTCTTCGCATTGGATCATATTTTTCATCAAGTTTCAAAGATATGAAGTAAACTCTTTTGTGATACCTTCTTTAACTTTGGCGTTTTTCATTTCCTCATCTGAAGGAACGTTTTCCCTTGTAATTGACTTTTCTGTATTGAAAATGTTCAGAGATCACATTTCACTGTGTTGTATATACAACATTCTAGTGTTGACTGATTCATTTCAGACAAGGGTGTTAATGCCACAGCAGCAATATATGCAACAAGCACTGAGCTAGAATAGAATCATTGTTTGTAGAGCAAATCCAGTCTTTTCTTCCTAGTGGCTCCAGATAAACGATTTTCAAGATGTTTATAAAATGGTCGCTCTTCACTGCCTGTCCGTGGGTATGAAATGTTGACACTCGTGTGCTTCGTAAAACATGTGTGTCAACCAAGCACACACAGGGAATCAATCTAGAAGCACTTCAAGGAGATAATGCGCGAGCGCATTATGTGCTTGAAATTCTTCTGTCATTGAAATACTGAAACGCAACTAATTGTTTCATTACAATATGCATAATGTAACATTTACAAGTGTTTCGTTGATCTTTCCAAATTTAAAACAAATTTCGGTTCATCCTTCCCAAACAGTCAGAGAAATGCCTCTCACACACGACTCAGCAAAATGTACTTGATACTGAAAGCTGTGTTTTTCTAAATACAGGTTCAACCACATCTTCACAAAACCCAGTTTAGGATTGTGATATCTAAGAGGTAATATAAGGGGAAAGGGGCAGTCGTAAAGCCTTTCACTCAACCTATGCATTTCAGTATGTAATCATATTTGCAATAATAATTAGTTGATTCCATTATGTAATTTCTGGAACTAAACTATGCACCAGGTCGAAGGGTGGTGTCGAAGGGGAAAGGAAAGAAAGAATTCGATGGAAAGAAATGGAGCAAGAAAAAATTAGGAGAAGTGTTGAAGGTAAGTATAGAATAATTTGTCTTAATTCATGTTTAGCACAGATTTGAAAATAATGAGATACGTTAGTTTCCTTTTCATGACTGTTATACATTTTTACCCTCTAACATGGAGTGATGTCTTTGCATTACTTAATGCATTTAGATTTGGAAGACATTTCTCAAGGTATGGAAATAAAGCTATAACGAATCCAACTATAACAAGCCGCCGAATATAACGAACCATCATTTGGATTCCGTCCGGATTCCTCTAAGCTTAATAATGTTAATTTACACTTCTATAGCTAACCTCCAAGAGTACGAAAACGAAATACAATGAGCCATATGGATATCTTATTGAAACATTTTTTGTATTTTTCCTATTTTTCTCAGAATTTTTGCAAGTTTGAACCAAAACATTACTAATCTATGTTAAAATCATATATGAGGATCCACATACTATACTTAAAAAAAAAAAAAAAAAAAAAAACTTTTGCGTTATTTTCTTTTATTTCCATCTCCATTTTTCTCTCTGTTCAAAACAAAGGCTGTGTACACCATAAGGTGTACCGAACCATGCAACTAAAAAACATGAATGGGTTCTCTGATTCCATTCGAATTCTTTGACCAAGCTGTCAGAACTCTATTCAAGGCTAATGTTATGATGAAAATTTTGAAATTTTCACTATTCAGAGAAAAAGGAAGCAGGGAATCTTACGATCTTGGCGTTTTACAGTTTATTATTCTTTTAGAGAAAGAATTTTGGTCTTTATCATCTTGTTTTGTTTGAGTATATCTAAGTTTAATCCTTAGCAAACAGAGGTTTCGCATTCTTCAGGTCTTTTGCAAGACATAAGATATTTTTTTATAAAAGTTATCGAATCTTTGTGCTGCATATCTTGGGGGGAAATGACTGTGTTCCTTCTAGACATTGGGGAAGACACATAGGTGACGAAATTATCTTTCTTTTTCATATTTTCAGAAAAATCCAAACTCTCACGTGCCCTCCTACAAAATTCTCTGCACCCTGTTTCTATGCCAAATATTCATCGGCATGGTGAGCTGTAAATGTAAAGCTTCTGCACTGATGATTAGGTAAACATTATTTGAAAAATATAAAATTGCTAAAAATGATACAAAGCTCAAACTGACGTAAAACGTTTTAAGAAAATCATTTTAATTAACTGAATTAAAGTTTGCATGACTTAGCTGTTATTTATTGCATTAAATTTTTGTTGATATGTCTTTCATATTTCAGCTGTTTTAGCCCTAAGGAAAGGAAAATCATTTGTAGATATTCTTTCGATCAACAAAAATTTAGAAGAGAAATCAGAAAATCAAAATACGAAAAAAGTGTCAGAAGTTAAGCCCATGGAGATCCAGTTAACACATATAAAAGAGGAATTATCTCAAAATAAAAATACTCAGTTGATTCAGGAAGAAAATGAAATTTTCCACGAAGAAATTCCTCATCTAATTCAGGAATCACAAGTTGTACTCGATGAAGGAATAAATAACGAAGTATTACCTGAATCAAAATCGATCGACATACAAGAAGCATCAAAGGAATCATCCCAACTCATCGAATTATCCGCTTCTCCGATTCGACCTACGAATATCGAATATTCTTCGGGGGAAAACGAAGAACGACAAGAAAATAATCCTATAACTCAATCAAAAATATATGAAAATTCTGTTCCTCTCTATATAGATAATAAACATAATACTGATGAGAAATCTGATGCAAAGTCTCATATTTACAATCATCAAAATTGCATTACTAACAGGGAAAAAGAATTATGTCAAGGGAAAAATATTTCATTTAGTAAAAGTGATAAAAATAAAATCATATCCTTTTCACAAAAATTAGAAAAAAATATTATCGAATTATTAGAAGTTTACGAAAATACATCCCATAAAGAAGAAACAGAATATATAAATCAATCGACAAACACCACCAAACATACTTCACCTCATGTTACAGACTCTGATAACAGCATTCCGATAGTTCTTGCAGAATTTAGCAAAACCGTAAGAGTTCAAAGTAATGAGAACGAAACTGTAGAAAATGAATCTATAGAAAATATAATACCTTATTCGGAAGCTATTTGCTCTCAAAATCCTGTTTCTGACTTAATCGAAATACAGGATAAAGTTAGTTCAGTTTATAATTTCACATCACTTGAAACATGCGAAGTTTTGAATAATACTGGTACTACAACAGAAAAGGCAGATTCCAACTCAAAACAAAACGCACATGTGCAAAATGATCCCTTAACCGAACTCAACTATTCTACAAAAACTGCAGAGAATAAAGCACACTTATTACAATTCAAAGATCTCAATTCGCCAGTAACGAAACTTGATGTTGAACAACTGTTCAGAGTAACAAATGTACAATCATTTTCTTCGAAACTGGTAGCAGATCCTGCATTTCTTCCAAATGCGTTAGAAGATACAATAGAAGAAATATGTGAAAAACCTGTCAAGATTTCAAAGATTCCTTGTATAAATGAAGAGGAATGTGTTTTATTACAGAAGCCTAAAGTCAATTTGAAACACGCAGAAGATATTTCGGATCATGAAGTAAAAGTAATTATCGAAAGTCCAACACATAATGGCGAAAGCAATAAAAGCACACAAGAAATTGTTGCTTATTTAGCAGAAGACAACAAAAATAACAAAATGGATACAGAGATGAGCAGGGAATTTAACCAAACAATGTTAACAGAAATGCCAGCTGAGGATCTTCAATACAAACAAAAAGCAGAAAATTCTAACATTCCTGCAACAAGCGAAGGAAAATGTATTCATTTAACATCCTCAGGAAAGAAAAGAGAACTGAATTGTGAAAATGTATCTGAAATCATCATTGAAAGTTCCAAACAGAATGAACTGAACTGCGCAACAGCATCTGAGGTGAACAATAAAAGTTGCAAAGAAAATGTATCTCAACATCATACTCATCTCAAATGGATTGTCGATCGCGAAGAGGAAAATACATCGAACAGAAAAGTAACGAACATTTATTTTGAAAGAAATGTTTTAGCTGCTACGATTGTATCGAATTCTGAAGCAGATGCAGATGAAACAAAATCAGTTCTTCGTACCTTGACTCAAGCAAATACACCACACTCAGAATTAAACAAAAAAGAAGGAACGAATGCAATAAATGGGAAGGAAAAGAGCGTTTATTTCCAAGAAAATGTCTTTGCCACAACAGTGGTGTCAGAATGTGAAACTGATGCTCATAAAACAGAATCAACTCAGCACACGTTGGTACAAACGACCGCGAAGCATCCAAAATTAGATGCTGAAAAGGAAAACGAGATAACAGAAGCGCGAATAATTAAGATGCATTCAGAAATAATGGAGACAAATGCAAATATTAAGCCTGTAGAGCTTATTATTATGAAAGATCCTGTAGGACAGTTCCAAGTAGCTGACGAAGTCGATCTTCTTCAACTCCAAGAAGAATTGCTTTCAGATACGAATTTGAGAGATACTAATACATGTGAAATTCATATGAATGCACTGCAGGCAGAAGAAATATGTAGTTTACATATTAATGATCAAAATGAAAACATCGAGAAATGTAGTAATAAAGATATAAAGAATAAAAATAAGATTTTTCAGCGTACAAATTCAAATTTAGATAATTGTAATACTGGATACAAAACTCGGAGAGATATTTATGAGTCACAAACATCTGATGTGGATAGTAAATCCTTAATTACAGAACAAAATTCTCTGGTTAACAGAGTGAATAACAACGATGTAACTGATACTGGAATAAACCCCGCTATAAATTTCTCTTACAACTTTGATGATCAAGTTCGGTATATTACGCAAGGAAGCATCTTTAGGGAGACTCCATTAGGAAGAAAAAATATTGAAGCAAACGAAAAAAATACAACAACTTTCTCCTCCCAAAATTATAATACTTTTACAGAAACTGAAAATAATCAAGAATGTAATTGTGGTGAAACTGTAAATAACAACTCGTCAGGTTTGAATGAATCAATATCTGAAGATAAGTTCTATAACAAAGACCAAGAAGAGGCACCTTATTATGGTGGCACTATAGGCATCATATCGGACAGTAACTTCGAAGTGATTCCCATTGCAAACAGATCATATGATACAGAAGGAGATCTAACAGACATGTCAGATATATTGCAAATTTCTACACCTTTGATTCAAGAATTTAAAGCAGATGGAAAGAATACCTTTATGGAGATTTCAAGTGAGGAAGAAGTGTGCAACAGTTCTAATCAGGGAAATGATAATGGTTCTCAAATCGTCTTCCAGAATACTCATGAAGTACATGGTGATGTTCAAGAGTGTGACCAGATTGGTAAAAGCAGCGATGAAATGGACAATGCAGATTATCATCCTCTAGAGAGTATAAAAATAAGAAAAGAATCTGACAGGTAAGAACATTTAAATTTAATTTTAAGGTAAAATTTAAAATCGAAAGAGCGCAACTTTTACCATGCATTTATAATAACACGCATAATTATGTACTGAATGCATGAAATTTATACAGCTACTTTCTCTTAACGACATAGAACAAAATTATGTACTTGTTAAATAAGCAACTCAAAGAACAGAATTTAAATATTTAGCTTTGAAAAAAAAAAGAAAAAAAGAAAAAAATTCGAAGTTTATTTTTAAACAGGGCCTATCAACGGCTAAGGGAAACACATACAGGTTCTATTTCCCACTCCTGAACGCGAAGATTAATTATTTCGCATTAAAAAGTCCACGAGGTTTCCCTTACAGGCAGATGGCATTAATGTGTGCTTCCATTACAAAACAACGGAGTTCAGTCTATTTTAAGCAAAATTTATGACCCATGTATTATTCTCTTTAACTTATCTCTTTCCTTTAATAGAAAGCACAATTACCCGTTGTTTAATATAACAAATTAATCCTTTCTACAGTCTCATTAGGTAACGACTCCAATCATCTGACACATGGAATAAATACCGGAATCCCCTTTAACCGACAGCATCAGGACCTCAAATGACAACATTAATCGTGATCATATTAAACGACTTCTAGTGTACCTAAGGACTTCTACTGCACTTACTGTACCTTCTACTGTACTGTTTTAAAAATAATCGCATAATTTCTACCCTTTGCTCTATTGTACATTGTTTTTCCCTCTGAGGGCTAGTTTATTGGTAAACTATATTGCCTTGATAATTTTTATTCAGAGTATTCAATTTGTACTTGCGCTTTTGTATTAGCATTTCATCCTTTTTACTTTCCCTTGCACTGAATTTTTGAAACGTATTTTACGCAGATTCTTCGATGAGATATGTGGACGTGGCAGATGTTGTCGCACTTAAGAAGCTTTCCAAATATGTAATTTTCATGTTACTTCTCTTATTTACATTCCAGCTCACTGTAGCTTTATCAACTGCCGATGTTTCCAATCTTTCGATAATCGAGTCTTTCGTTTGCCCCTCTTCTCCTTAATTCCTTCCATGTCCTTGTTAGGAGCTGCGGTCAAGACTCATTCGGGCTTTACAAGGAAAGGCAGAAGAGAAACACGGCAAAGTAAAACAAAAAATTAGAAAAGCAACAATCTTGCATTCGTAGATTTTACTCAAGACTCTATCGATATCGAGGGCAAACAGGCATAGGTCCTTTTTCAACAGAAGCAAAAAAACCTGCAGATTTCTTTTCTCCTGATGAAGAGGATTCGCTCATGATGAAGAGTAAAGAAATCTGCAGATTTCTATGCTGATGAAGAGGGACCTTACCCCGAAATTGATTGAGGCTGAACTAAAATCTACGCCAAGCAAAGGTTGTTGCTTTGTTAATTTTATACTTTACGAGGTAATTGAGGCGGACATGTCGAACTTAGTTACTACCATCAGATATCAGCTCAATATACTTCTTATGTTGTAGTGTTAATATTACGTATTCTTATTGGAATGCAAGTTTCCTTTCAAAGAAGTAATTATTGTGACCAATAGTTATCCACGGAGCTCTCGGCGCATGTCAGCAGCCGTGTTGGTTGGCAGTTTTGTGCTGTGATGAAAAGTCTTTATTATTCTGTGCATATTGGTTCTGTGTTATTGAAAGTGTTTTTTTTATAATTTGTTTTGTGCTCCGGTTTTGAAAAATGTGCCTTTTGTATCAAGATAATGATTATTTTTGAAGAAATGAATGATTGAGAATTTCATCGACCCGGAACGCTCCATTTGCATGCACGGCAATGGCTGCTACGGAGGATGACGTGTTTTACGATGCTCTTGAAAAACACTGTAAAATTATTGAATCAGCACTTCAATCTAAATGCAATATGAATCAAATCAACAGGTTCGCGAGGAGGCCAAGCAGGCTTTGGGTGAGTTGAAATCTTCTATTTATAAGAATTTTGAACGTATCAAAGCTGTTAAATTTATGGATGCATGTAAGGAAAGTTTGAAAGACGCCTTTTCAAGACCTAGTTATGCTAGTGTGGTGGCGCCATCTGATGTTACAAGGATTAATTAAAATTCCTTGATTTCTTCGGATTGTTGTTTAATTGTAGACTCTGAAAACTGCTCTTCTGACGATGTTAAGAAAGTTATTAAACTAAAAATTAATCCATTAGAAGCTAAGTTAGGTGTATGTACTTTGAAAATATTGGAAAAGATAAAGTCTTGGTTAAGTGTTTGACAGAAAATGATCTGAATCAACTTCAAGCCGAGATTAATGAAAAGTCTCCGGAATTAAACACGTCCTTGCTAAAAAAAGAGGAATCCTGTTTTACTTGTAAAAAATGTGCCAAATGAAATACCTAATGAAGATCTTCTGAAAGTGATTTTTGAACAAAATCCCGAAGTTGTTAAATCTGATGAAAACAGAAGTATATGTAGAGTTCGTTTTACTTTAAAAACTTTCCAGTTCACGAGGCACGTTGTGATTGAAACGCACCCCATGGTTCGTAAACGTATTCTGAATCAAGCCAGGTTGAAAATTAATTGGAGTATATGTGAAACTGACGATTTTATTATCATCAATAGATGTTTTAAGTGTCTTGGGTACAACCATCGTGCTGATGAATGTCGTGAGCGAACAGCCTGTTTTAACTGTTCTGGAGAACATAAGGCAAGGGATTGTTCGAATAGGAATGCTGTAGCTTGTATAAATTGCATCCGCTTCAATCATAAAACAAATAACAGCTATAAAAAAGTGAATGTTAATCACAAACCTTTTTCAGAATGCTGTCCTAGTCATGAATCTTATGAGAAAGAACATTCAATCTCGAATTGATTATGGCTAGGCTAGACGCGTTCTAAAGTGTGTGCAGTTAAATCTTCATAAATCCAAATCTGCGACACAACAGCTAATTTTAAATATGGAAGCTGATGATATTGACTGTGCTTTGGTTCAGGAACCTCATTATTACAAGAATTTTCTTCCAGGATATCCTGGCACTTATAGACTTTATTGTGATCCTAATTCTGATAATGTAAAGGCGGCAATCATTATTCGATCACGTGATCTATCAACATTTCTTGATTATAAAAATACGGATTATAATATGGTTACCTTGGATATTACTGTTGGCTCAACTGTGCTCACTCTTTTTTCATACTATTTTGAACCCTCAAGAAACATTGACTTAGATCTTCATAAAATTAGTCAAGTCTTTATGTTCAAAAATCTTAATCGACTGGTTTGGTGTATGGACTCTAATGGCAAATTACGGTTTAGTCCCTATTCTGACTCTCGTGGAGATAAACTGAGTGAATTTATTTCTGCCAACAACCTATTTGTTATTAATGAAGATTATGGACCTACGTTTCAGGTAACTCAGGGTTCTAGTTATATTGATGTTACTGTTATTGGTTCAGATCTTCTCCAGGATGTTTCGAGTTGGCGACTGTCTGAAAAAGAATCCCTTTCTGATCATATGATGATTGAATTTGAATTTTGTCTTTCTACGTTCTTACGAGACACCTCAAATGTTCCTTTTAAAATCTTCAATACAGGGAAAGCAAATTGGGATCGTTTTCGAAAATTTTGTTCTTCTCGCATCACCCGTTTCATTGATATTCTTAACGACTGTACTGACGGTTCTCGACTAAATACTCTTGTTGAGAATTTTAGTTCTGTTCTTCTCCAGGCATCTCAAATTTCCATACCTGTTAGGAATCATGGTAAGCACAATGTTCCTTGGTGGTCTGCCGAAATTTTTTGTATGAGAAAAAGGCTTAATGCCTCTAGGCGTAGATTTCAGCGTTGTAAAAATACGCCTCTTAGAGAACTTTATAAAAGTAAATATCTTGAATATAGAAAAGTTTACAATCTAAAGCTTGCCGATGCTAAATCTCAGTCTTGGAAAACATTTCTTTCGACCATTGATGTTCACAATGTATGGAAAAAGATTTACACGTATGGAGTTAAAAGAGATTTCATGAAAAAAATTGAAATAACTGGTATTTGTCTTTCCACTGGAGAGACAACCAACTCTTTAGAAGAGACAATTACTGCTGTGCTTCAGAAATCTTTCCCCTCGGATCTAGAGGAAAATGATGATGATTTGCATAAGGAATACCGTCAAGCTGCGCGTACTGCTTATTCTTCTTTTGTAGATCCTATGTTTTCTTGTGATGAAGTTAATACAGTTATTTCTATGCTGGAACCAAATAAATCACCTGGTCCTGACTCTATTTCGAATGAGATTATTAAACAGTTTCATTTAATGTTTCCTCAGTTTCTCCCTAAAAAATTTTTAACGTTTGCCTAAATGTTGGCATTTTCCCACGTGTTTGGAAACATGCTCAAGTAATTCTTATTCCTAAAGGAAATGAGTCTAGGATTCCTCGCCTAGATAACCTTAGGTGTATAAGCTTACTTCCTGTTTTGGGTAAGTGCTTGGAAAAACTTTTTATTAACAGAATTTGCTGGTATCTCTCCGCCATGGAGACCTTCTTTCTGGTAATCAGTATGGTTTTACACCTCAAAAAAGTTCTGAAGACGCTCTTTTACGCTTGAATGAAATTGTTCAGAGAGGAAAAAGAAAAACTTGCACACTATTTTGGTCTTTTTGGATATTAAGGGCGCCTTCGACTATGCGTGGTGGCCTTGTATTCTCAATCTTCTCAAAAAAGTGGAACTTCCAATGAATATTTTTTTCACTTGCTGCTGATTTTTTAAATGATCGGGCGGCCAAATTGCAATTGGGCTCGGCTTCTGCAATTCGTCACCTTGAAAGGGGTTGCCCTCAAGGTTCTGTTTCAGGACCTACGTTTTGGAATATTATTATTAATGATCTCCTATTAAAACTGGAAAATCTTGCTTGTTGTGATACTATAGCCTTTGCGGATGATGTTTTGTTTTGCTTCCAGAGTAGGGACCTTTCTGCTACTTTTTTACAGGCACAAGAGACTTTAAATTTCGCCTCCAACTGGTCAAAAGGTTTTAA